ACCCCACATAGGGTATAGATCTCATTAAGAGTTGTTAACTCGACCTCCATTGCTTTGGGATTCATGCTTCACTATGCATGAACTTTTCGCATACTACTCATGACTTGCTATTACCCATTGAACCCATTTCTTGGGATCTCCAGTATATTGGGTCGGGTTACCATCACTTGTAGTCCGCGGTTCGGTAGGCATAAGGCTCATACCCTTGGCGGTATTCTTGACTTTCTCTATAGGTAATCCTTTCGTCAAAGGATTAGCTAGATTCTGTTCGGATATAATATGATCCACCCTCACTACTCCTATCGTTAGGAGTTCTCTTGCAGTAATGTGCTTACTACGAATTTGTCGTCTCTTTTCGTTCTAGAACCGGTTCCCTTCTTTTGCAATAGCTGCGGTGCTATCACAATGACTCTATTACCGGAGGGATCGTTCTTTCCCATAAGGGAATCTCTTGTAATGACCCTCTCGATTAACTTTTCCCTTTACTAGCCATTGATAGTTTCATCATTTATGATTCCTTAGTTGATTGGATCGGGATCGTTTTACTTCTTAGACTTCCAAGACACAACTCTTTTAGCGATGTTCAAAATATACCCACTGGATGCCTTGGAGTCTTCTATAGGGTATTCTTGTCCGCATCAATATATCCTACCAATAAAGCCAGAAAATCGTTGATAACTTATATCAAGGTCTACTGTTCTTAAGGTGTCTCATGACCTCTTTCAATAGGATTTCAATGCTTCATACTAGGACAATCAGTAAGCCTGCCAAGTACCCCCCCCCCCACTAAATCGGGTCTCATGTTTATCAGCTGCCTCTCGCAGACTGTCAATACTAGTATATTCTAACTTTCTTACACCGTCTTAGGTGTTATTTAAATATTTATACCAGCATCATCAAACATGTATGCAGATGTACATCTTGTATTTTCCTAGTTATTAGGATCTCTAAGCATAACATTTGTTTCATTCTGATCCTTCACATTCAAAATTCTCAACCATCATGGTTTTTCAATATTGACATCACGAGTATTTGTACCAAAGATCGATGTGTCATTCATAATGCAAGTGTCATTCTCAAATTTGTACTAAATGCACTTGTCACTTACACTTTTAAAACCATGAGAGAGAATATGATTATTCATGCAACTAATTCGGAGTCTATTTCAAATCATATAATGATTTGTCTAACCATAGACTCCAGAAGCATGTTCAAGAATAACAACCTTTAAGATTGTCACAATATAGATTTCTTTATTCAAATCACCATTCACAAAATAATTTTAACATCCATTTGATGGATGTTGTTCTACATATTGGTGAATAGATATCAAAGAAATCTTTTTTTCCCCTCTTCACCTAAAGCCTTAGCTACTAGGCGATCACTATACTCATAAATTAAACCATCAGGTTTCAGTTTTCCTTTTAAGAATCCATTTATTACCTAGGCTTCATTGCCAGGAGGTAATTCTCAAAGATGCCAAATCTTTTCGATTTCATCGATATATTACCTAAGGTAACTCTACAAGTTTCTAAGTCTTATTAGGCTCTCATGATTTCATTTTAATAATTGCTTCTTCCCACAAAACTGCACCTTTACAGAAGTTTGAGCTTCTATCATACTTGTAGGATCTTTCTTAGGGTGTAATTAAAAAACTCATAACCAAAATCCTTTATCGATTTATGGTTCGTTTGCTTCTTCTGAGTTCATACTCAGATTCACCACCCCCACTAGTTCAATTATTTCTAATAGTAGGTAGGATATCACCCCCACTATTTCTTAATTCAAATGAAAATTTATTGGCATCAATGGACTCCACAACACAACGAGTATTCATTTCATAAACTTACGTGTTTTACAACAACTTACACACTCATATGCTCTTCTAGTTATCATGCTACACTGATTCTCTAATGCTACCACATGCATGCCACATATCGAATAATCAGTGCAATCATAATGCAATTAGGCATTTCAAACCATTTCAAATAACTAGTCGGACAATCAGAGCACTCTAAAGAGCAATAAATTATTTATTGTCTTTTCCATCAAGTTTACCTATATCAACGTAAATCAAATTTATTGATTCTGATTCTCTAACCACATATTTATGGGTCATTTAGCTTGGATATACAAAATTCATATTTTTCTCAAGCATCCAATAATAATATGTGAATGCGATATAAGATATTCTAATTCTTCACACAAACATACTTGGAAGAATTTATCTTATCTACTTAACCATTCCTTACGTCTATGATAGTCAATGACTTTCTAGAGGTAGGGTTCTCTTCCACTTTCCCAGCAACATCAACAATAGTGGTGAGGGTCTTGCCCAACAACACTTTCCCCTTCAATACGCCTCGATATATGATTGAGCTTAGCTCCTTTATCATACATATGCCTTGAGGCGCCAATATCCAACCCCCATTCTTCAGAGTTGCCTTTAAGGCCTACCTTTGTTATCACCTCAGTGATCATTACCACCAAATCCTCCTCTTTACTCAAGTTTACACCAGGTCAAACTTGTTCTTACACTTTCGTGTTATATATTTTCTTGCAACTTTAGCAGAGAAACACATCGTTATTCTTAGAGGATTGACACGCAATGTTATGGTTACCAGGAAGGGTACCATTCTATTTGGTGTGGATGTGATTCAACTTGATGCTCTCATTCTTGAAACTTTAATGTTTCAGAGAAACCTCAGTGGTTCATCTGGTACTGACAAAAGTACTTCTTACAATATCGTCACTATGGACAATTAACCCATTCCATTCCCATATATTCTTCATATACACTCATGTAAACAAAATTACTCTATTCCATTACATGCATTCAAATTTATGCTCTAATCATTGAGAAAAACACATCTCAATGTCAACATAATCATGCATCAATACTCAATCTCTCTAGCATTCTCAAGATATCTCAATTGCATGCATAATAATATATGAAATAGATTCTAGTTTTATCATTCATCAATGACTCGTGAGGAAGGTTTCTAACTCTTACCTCATTTCGGAGAAGACATTTCATTCTTTGCTCTCATCCTGATTCCTTCCATATTGCCTTCGATGCTACAACCTTGTGTTCTCCTAGCTTTTATGGCGTTCGGTCATCGCTCCTATGTCAACATCCGCTTCTCTTAGGAGTTTCCAAAGCTTCACCTATGCCCCCAATCTTTGCTCCATAGGGGTTACTACAAGCTCTCGATCAATTATATCATGAATATATTTCATAGGCTTCCTGGTAAGCTTTCTAACATTTCCCCATAAACGTTGTTATCCCTCAATAAAAAAATAAAAGCGTAAATCATAATCACAAATGTCAAACAGGAAAAATGAGTCAATGCCACATTTGGTCACTGTGTCATGTTTAGTCACTAGAAAAAATTAATATTAAATTTGGTCACTATAATTACTGAAACATGCCACATTTAGTCAATCCATGTTAATTTCCGTCCAACTCCGTTAATGGAGTTCGTTATGTCCTGGCGTGGCTTAAGGGAACGCCTCAGCACCATTTTGGACAGAAAATGGTCAAACCCGACCCGCCACGTCACTAAACCCGCCACGTCATACACCCAACCCAACCCATTAACACAACTCGACCCAGAACCAAACCCTAGCCCACTTAACAAAACAAAATTGGAAAATCGATCGGGTTAGTGGCCATTTCATACCAAAACCCTTTTCTCCTTCCTCGCCAAGCTCTGCTCCTTTCTCGAATCAATTGTCCCCCCCCCCCCCACCCCCTAAAAAAAGAAAGTCCACAAATTCGTCGAAACCCGGAATCCCTAGATCGCGAAGCCACTCACATCCTCGCGATCCTCCTCCTCCTCGCTCTCGCCGCCGCACTACTCGGCGGGTGGCGCCCGATCGACCTGAGGGCCTCAAGGATCCGGACGTGATGGATGCCACGAATTTCTCCGTCAAGCAACACAAAGAGAAGGAGGGGGAGAAGGTGAAGCTTGTGAGGGTGGAGTCCGGTGCGTACCAGGTCGCCCGCGTGAAGAACTAAAAGCTGGAGCTGACAGTCTCAAGCGTTGTAGATGCCAACGGGTTGTCCAAGTACGAGGCGATCGCCTGGGTGCAGCCCGGCGCCGTGAAGAGGCTCACTTCGAGAAAGAAGGTGACGTGAGCTAGCATGATCGAATCTCGATCGATCTCCCTGGATTTTTCTGGGTTTTCGTGTTCGGATGATGCGATTATATATTAATTTAATGGGGACGGAATTGTGATGTGGTGGTTATGTGAGATGTATCTGTGTGCGTGTTTGCATTGCCGGAAATAAGAAGGGAAGAAAAAAGCTCTATTGCTGTTGGTGCTATTCGAGATCAGTTTGTTCTCCGGGAAAACTGATTTTTGAAACTTTCTCGAGAAAAGGTTTTGGTCTGAAATGGTGATTGACCGATCGATTTTCCAATTTTATTTTATTAAGTGAGCTAGGATTTGGTTCTGGGTCAAGTTGGGTTAATATGTTGGGTTGGCGGGTTTAGTGACGTGGCGGGTCAGGTTTGATCATTTTTTGTCCAAAATGATGCTGACTAGGCGTTCTCGTTAGCCCCGTAAGCACATAACGAACTCCACTAACAGAGTTTGAGGATACTAATGGAGAGTGACTAAATGTGACCTGTTTCCGTATTTACAGTGACCAGATTTGATATTAACTTTTTCTAGTGACTAAACATGGCACAATTTAGTAATCACAGTGACCAAATATGGCATTAACCTAGGAAAAATAGAACCAGCAATATTATTGATTCTCATCACGAGCTGGAAACCACAGAGGGCCTCATTCTTCCTTGGGACAAGTGACCCAACGACTTTTGCTTGTGGATTCTGGACAAACCAATTCATTGGACAGGGTATTCATACATCACTAGACCGAGCTTCCTTCATCTCTGAAGCAGAGGTACCCATTCCACTGTCCATCAATAAAATGAGTCGGATCTGTCCACCTGACGACCCACTTTTCTCATCTCCCTGCTTTACTAGCTACGATATTTACCCCTTGATTTGGCCAAGATTATCATCTGCTCCTACTATGCTTTGGGACTGGTCAGTGGATATGAGGAATGAATTGATCGATCATACCAGAGTTCTTGTTCAACGAACGCTACAGGCCAGAAAGATTAAAGTTAATAGGCAGATTAGTGTATTCCATAATATACCAAAAGGTAGAACCAAACAAATCAAATAAATGCAGAGACAGGTCCTGAAGTTTCTCTGTTTTTTTCCTATCGGTGCAGCAGTGAGAGGAAAATTCCCCTTTATTCCGTTTTAGGCAAATCTCAAACGTCCCGATTGTCAATATGGCTTCTCCTCAGCGCCGCAACAAGGTCGAGACGAGCGCTAATAGATCGAGAAACCCATCTTGCGTTGGACAGTCGCTCTCTCCTGCTGATATAACCATTGTCGGTTCCCTTTGTTTCCCAACTGCGGCTGTTGTTGTCTCCCCGCGACCAGTAATGACAACAGGGCCGATGATGATGTAAAAATCGAGCTCGCTGCTCCTCGGCAACGAGTGATCCACAGAATTTCCTCGATCGGATGTGTTCACGAGGCGATGAACATTGTTCCAGCCATATTTGATATCTTGTTCGGTACTCATACTAGCAACCAAACGTCTTAAAATTGTTAGAAATCGAACAGAAAAATTAGGTTACTGATCTGGCTGAGTCGCGGACTAGGTCGCTCTTTTTAAGACGTTCGCGGCACTGCCTCGTATTGCGCACAACAGAATATCAGCCGGTCGCATCCAGGATAAAACAACCACTCTTTTTTTATTGCTCATCGGTTTTGTGCGAAAAACCTGAGTTCTATGAACTCACTCTCTTTCTCGTGTTTCTGCTCTCTGAGGTGTGTTTAGAGGGTCTAGGGGTCTGCTATTTATAAGAGCAGAAAACCCAGAATATTCACTCTTTCTTTGGGAATAAGTCACATTTTAAAGACACTAGAAAGAATACCCGCTGCTACGCCGCGGGGGCTTTAGTTACAACGTCATGATAAATGGATAAGCAGTTAGGCTATTATAGATTTCTTTTATGTAAGGAGGTGGAAAGGAAGAGAAAAGGAAGATAGAAAGTTGCAGAGAAGTGATTTCTCTTTCCTTCTTTAAAAGTGCAGTCATTAAATACGAAATAAAATAAAATAAAGAATTTAATGTATAAACGGACAAAAATACCCTTCCCCACTTAGCGTCCGGCCCAACCACACGATTGCCTGCCTCTTAGATCTATGGTCCCTATTCATTACTGACATGTCAGTAACCATTTGGTTACTGACCCTATCTGCTGCCTCATTTTCCATGGCCTGGGAAAGAAAGACAGGTCACAACATTCTTATTACATGAGCATAATGATTCAGATAATTCAAGAGTATTGTTACAGTAACCAAACATAATGTGCAGGTGAAAGAGAGGGTAGGTTGTAAAAATCTCTACTGACAAAATTGTCGTGTATACTGATCAAGATGTCTAGGGCAATGATCTTTCAGCGGCTGCAATTGTTTTTCACCAAAAATTTCCCTCAACCGCCAACTTCCCACCGCCACCCATTCCTTCCAATTCCACCTATAAATCGTGCACATTACCTAGCACAACGCACACCTTGTCATAAATCTACAACAATATATCTTCATAATGCTACCTTAAGTATTTGTGTCTGCCAAATCAACTAAACATAAATAAATAACGAAAATGTGAATAGAAACTTTAGCAGTTGACCAAGTGTAATTAACAGTTTAGCAATCAATCTCCAGAATAATCAACCACATTTGAAGGGGAAGTATGAGAACGGTCAACGAACCTCATGTCTAAGATATAGCTGGCCGAGGAGGCCTAAACTCGTTGGCCTCTTCCAAAACAGTCTCATCAACTAAGGAGATGTTGTGACAAAATAGTGAAATTCATGGTGGGATTCATAAGTGTGGCGGGTGACATGATTCGATTCAGTTGGAAGGATAACCAAAGTGCTGGAAAGTGTAAGAAGTACTAACATTCCCGACAAAGAAAGCATCGAGGGGAAGGAAAAGAGCTGGTCAAGGGCGAGAGGAAAACATCCATTTTTCAACTTGAAGGTGTTCTTGGAGGTAAGTTACTCTATGCCGCAGACCAACAACTAATACAGAGCAATCAATAGCAAACCTATACAAATTAGTCTAAGAGAAGCAGGTAAGCACAACTACCAAAGTGTTGTATGATATTATACTTCCCCTTCTACCTCTTTAGATTACCCACATAATGACTTAGGTTTATGCTAAATTAAAGTTGAGTTTATTTTTTGCTTGGTAGTTACTGTTTAGTCTACACCAGCACATAACGGTGCATGGCCACTGACATAAGCAACCCCAAAACAATACACAAATAAAAGGCAAAAAGGAAATCCAGTAATAAGGAAATTACAGAAAAAAACTGTAGTATGTTGCTACCACTCTGTTTTGGATCTCACCAGTTTCTTTCTGTTCTTTGTCTCCCCTTCTCTATCCTTGCAAATTGTCTCCCCTACCTAGGTTTTTCCAATTACTGGATAGCATTGTAAATCCTTTTCATTATTGCTGAACGTGCTAATTATCTATTGACCTACCGTGCATCTTATAGCAATTTAAACAATGAGCAAAGCAGACAGATGTAATGATATGTACACAGAGTTTCCATACTGAATTATGATCAACAGATGTACTGAAGAAGCACGTCCATTTAGCAGCTACCAAAAACTCACAAATAATGCAGTGACCAAAGCCTATTCGTAGAGAGCCAATCACTAATCATGCAGACAACAAATGTTGATTCAGGCAAGGAAATCAAGTCGAAGATTGCCTATTATGCCCGTTGCCCTTTCAGCTGTATCAAAGGAAACAGCTAGCTAATTTGAAGAGTTTCCTTCTTGGTCGATTAACGGCTAGCTGGTTCTGGTATTTATACCTCTCCATGCTGACTTCTCAAGGCACTTTTGTAGAAGCTTGTTAGCTGTAGAGGGCTTAAGCTTGGCAATTACAAAAGGGGGTTTTTGACATACACAGGGTGGAGGATCTGAGTGTGTCAAGGCTGGTCAGATCAAGATTGATCTGGGTTATTTGTTCAGCAATTTATTTGTGTGTTCTTGTTCTTTCTTTTTGCTAAAACTGAAATATAATAAAGGCCTCCCAGACCATATTCTGGGACGTGGAAGTAGACCATTGCACTTGGGCGAACCACGTTAAAAATATCGTGTGCCATTCTTTTCTCAGTCTTTCACTTGCGATTCAGATTTCTTCTTTCGATCCTCTGCTCTTCCTCTGTTTCACTCTGCTGTGCATTTGTGCTCTGTTCTGTTACAAAGAAGAAATCGTCTCTGGCTTTATGATCTAACCGAGACTGGGCTTCGGCCTGTCTATTAAGTTGTACCAGTGGTTGTGTAAAACTGAGGTTAGATCGTGGGCTTAGAACTCTTGGGCCCAGATATAAATAGAAGGAACGAACAGTGTCTGAAGACACTTTGTCTTTGTCGTTCCCATCTCTGTCTGTTCCCATTCTCGATTTCCCTGAACCCTAAAACTTCTCCTTCTCTGTATCGATTTCAATTGGTATCAGAGCTGCTCCTTGCAAAGCTAACTACTGCCAAGGTTTACGATCCAATGGCGTCTAGTTCCTTCGGTCATGCAGCCCTAAATCATCTCCCAATTTTCACTGGATCGAATTACACTGCGTGGAAGAAACGGATGAAACAATTCATGTGGGGGATCGATGAAGAACTCTGGCTAGTCGTGCAAAATGGACCTGTAGAAATGAAGGATGAAGAACAATCGATATGGTTAGTGGAACAGAAGAAAAGTGCTCAATTGAATCAGAGGGCTATGCATGTCTTGCAATCCGCCATGAATCCTGATGAAGCTGATCAAGTGGAGAATTGCGCAATAGCCTGGGAGATCTGGACAACGCTCGAAAGCACATATGAAGGTACCTCTAATATCAAAGAATCTCGCATAGACCTTCTTGTTCATGATTACGAAGCTTTCAGTATGAGTAAAGCTGAAGGTATTCATGAGATGTACTCTAGGTTTACTATTCTTATAAATAAGTTGAAAGGGTTGGGAAAAACTTTTCAGACAAAGGATCTTAACAGAAAAATACTCAGATCTTTGCCAAGAGAATGGCTGCCTAAAAGAACTGCTATTGAAGAAGCTAAGAATCTGAGTACCCTACCTATTAGTGAATTAATAGGTTCCTTGTTAAGTCATGAGCATGTTTTAAAGCAGGTTAGTCAGGAGGATGAAAAACGTAGCAAAAACCTGGCATTTAAATCAAAAGTTATAGACTATGAACAAGACAGTGATATGGAAAATGACTTTGAAAAAGAATTTGCTCTTGTTAGCAAACGATTTCATAGAATGCTAAAGTTCAAAAACGGCCAAAAACAGCGTTTAGATGACTCCAAATATGGAGGTACTAAAAATCATTTTCAAAGTAGGCTGCTACCACAGCAGACCAGAAAATTTGAATCAGGTCAGCAGGAAAGGGAGTCTCAGGCATGCTACAAGTGTGGGAAATTTGGTCACATAAGAGCACACTGCCCTCAAACCATAAAGGCCAAAGAGAAAGCTATGAAGGCCTCCTGGAGCGATTATGACACTGATCAAGAAGAACAGGAGTCAGAAAATGAAGCATTTATGGCCAGAACAAGCCCCATAGAAGAAGAAGAAGAAAAAGAGTCAGCTGTTGTGAGTGATGATCACAAATGGTATCTCGACAGTGGGTGTTCCCACCATATGTCTGGTAAGAAGCTTCTATTCTCTTCTTTAACCCTGATGAATGGAGGTAAAGTGTGGTTTGGGGATAATGGATGTGGAAAAGGTAATTGGATCTGGAACTGTAGGAAGAAAACCTCTTCCTTCTTTTAAAAATGTCTTACTGGTTGAAGGACTAAAACATAACCTATTGTCAATAAGTCAACTTTGCAGTAATGGATATCATGTTATGTTTGAAACAGATAGGTGTGTTGTTAAGAGAAATAAAGATGAAAAAGTCATGTTTGTTGGGAAAAGGTTAAATAACATGTATGTCATTGATCTAAGTAATCTTGGTGCCTTTAATGAACTGTGCTTTGTCTCTTCATTTCAACAAGAATTGACTTGGCATAGGAAGATGGGTCATGTGAGTCTTCAAAAACTTGTTGATCTGACTAAGTCTGGTCTAGTTAGGGGAGTACCAACTTTAAAGTTCAAAACTGACTTTTTCTGTGAAGCATGTGCGAGTGGTAAGCATTGTAGGAAACCTTTGAATTCCAAAACTGATATCACTTCACATGAAATGTTTGAATTAATTCACATGGATTTATTTGGTCCATGTAATGTTACAAGCCTTGGTGGTAAAACGTGTTGGTTCTGGTTGATGATTACTCTAGATACACTTGGGTGTACTTCCTTGCTTACAAGGACGAGGCTCTTGCAAAATTCAAATCATTTATCATGTTGTTTTTAAATAAGATTAAAACCATTAAAAGTGATAATGGGGGGGGGGGGGAATTTGTGTCTGAAGAATTTGAAATTTTCTGTAATGAGTCAGGCATTTCTCATACTTTTTCTGCTCCAAGAACTCCACAACAGAATGGAGTTATGGAAAGAAAGAATAGGACTCTTATTGAATGTGCTCGTACTATGCTTCTTGATTATAATCTTCCAAAATTCTTGGGCTGAAGCTGTGAGTACTGCTTGTTATGTTACAAATCGAGTTTTTATTAGAAAAGGTATTAACAGAACTCCCTATGAAATTTTTAAGAACAAAACTCCTAACCTTGCTTATTTTCATCCTTTTGGATGTTCTTGTCATGTTTTAAACACTAAAGACAGGCTAGGTAAATTTGATGCTAAATCTGACAAAGCCATCTTTCTAGGCTACTCAATAAAAGGACAAGCCTATCGTGTTTATAACAAACGTACTCAGAAAGTGGAAGAATCAGTTCATGTTATATTTAATGATTCTAACACTGGAAGTGAGGAATTTGAGCAGGATTTTCAGGAATATGATCTCTTGGAAATGATAAGAACTAGTTCAGAACCTACTGAAGAGGTCATCCCAGAAGAAAGAACCAAAATTGATGAAGGTCCCAGTCTGGAAACTGTTTCTGCAGAGGAGGATCTCTCTGCTGCTACTACTAAAGCACCTCCCTACATTCAGAGGCGTCATCCATCAGATCAGATCATAGGTAACCTGAATGATGGTCTTCGAACTAGAGGTAAGTATGTTCCCGGACAATATGCTTATGTTTCTCAGTTTGAACCAAAGAACTATAAAGAGGCTATTAAAGATGATGAATGGTTCTTTGCTATGGTCGATGAATTAACACAATTTAAATCTCTTCATGTTTGGGATCTTGTGCCTAGACCTGTGAACCAATAAGTGATTGGAACTAAGTGGGTCTTTAGGAACAAATCTGATGAAAATGGTACTATAATTCGAAATAAAGCCAGATTAGTGGCACAAGGTTATTCACAGGAGGAAGGAGTAGATTATGATGAAACCTTTGCCCCTGTTGCTAGGCTAGAATCAATTCGATTACTGTGTGCTTATGCTTGCTACATGGGGTTTCCTCTTTATCAAATGAATGTTAAAAGTGCATTCTTAAATGGTGATATCAATGAGGAAGTTTATGTTTCACAACCTCCTGGTTTTGAGGATCATCAATACCCTAATCATGTTTATAAACTTAAAAAAGCTCTATATGGTCTAAAACAAGCTCCAAGAGCTTGGTATGATACACTTACCTCTTTTCTGCTTCAACATGGTTTTGTACAGGGTTCAGTTGATAAGACCCTATTTATTAAACACAAATCATATGACATGCTTATAGTTCAAATTTATGTAGATGATATTGTTTTTGGGGCTACTTGCAAAGATATGTGTTCTGAGTTCTGTAACTCTATGAAAGAAGACTTTGAGATGAGTATGATGGGGGAACTTCAATTTTTCCTCGGACTCCAAATCAAACAAATAGAGTCTGGCACTTTCATAAGTCAGACAAAATACATATCCTCAATGCTAAGTAAATTCGACATGTTAAATCTTAACACCAGTCCCACTCCTATGGCAGTGAATCTAAAACTTGATAAAGATGAGACTGGAGTACCAGTTGATGAATCAAAGTTTAGAGGAATGATTGGCTCTTTGCTGTATTTAACTGCAAGTCGTCCTGATATTCAACATAGTGTCTGTTTGTGTGCTCGTTTCCAATCAGCTCCTAAAGAAAGTCACATGTCTGCGGTCAAACGCATTTTTAGATACCTTAAAGGGACCATGGACATTGATCTGTGGTATCCTAAACATGATCAGTTTGATCTTGTTGGGTACAGTGACTCAGATTTTGCTGGAAGTTTAACTGATAGGAGAAGCACCTCAGGTAGTTGTCAGTTTGTAGGAACTTCTTTAGTCTCCTGGTCTTGCAAAAAACAAGGGGCAGTTGCCCTCTCCACAGCTGAGGCAGAGTACATAGCTGCAGGAAGCACTTGTACTCAGCTCCTGTGGTTAAAAAGCCAACTTCAAGACTATGGAATTACTATGACCAGCATACCTTTACTTTGTTATAATACAAGTGCTATTTGTATGTCCAAAAATCCTGTGCAACATTCACGAACTAAACATATTGAAATCAAGTACCATTTTATCCATGATCTTGTCAGTGCTGGAATTATCAATCTCCAGTACATTAATACAGAATTCCAACTGGCAGATCTTTTTACTAAACCATTATCAACTGATCGCTTTACTTTTCTTTGCTGTGAAATCGGTCTGCGATCACTTTCCACCATTACTGCTGCTGATAAAAACTAGCTTCGAGCTTGTTGCCTTGTATGTTGTATTCTTACTCTTTTTAGTTGCTTTCTCAGTATATTTCCTTACCTTCCTTAATCTTCTGTAGTTTTGATTGATTGAGTGCTTTCCTTTTGTTGTTAGTTTTTTGGTCTTTATATTGCTGGGTCTGGTCGGTCTGTCGTGTTTAGCCTGTGTCTAAATTTTTCTTCTGTGTCAGCCATGGTTTATGCTTTTGCTCTGACTTATTCTGGGGAACATTTCCATGAGCTTGTTGTTGCGAAATACCATCGTCACACCCAATCCTTTGCAAATCACCCTATCAACCCCTCTACAACAGTTCACCTCCTTGATTTTGTGCCCTTAGGACTCAATGTGATGCCCTTTGTTTATAATCTAGGCCGGGAATTTCTCCTGATGCCCGATTTTACCACTTCTCTCATCTGTCCTGAGGCTGTTAGGGTTTTCTTCTCAAATCTGAGGTATTTTGGTCTCCAAACTCGCACTATTAGTTCTCTTGTTCATGGTCACATGATGACCCTTCCTCTTTCGGACATCAGTCGTCTTCTCAACATTCCTGCTTTTGGAAAGGCGCTGGCCCATCCTAATGAACTTCCCCTTTTTAATTTCAATATCACTACTGAGGCTGTTCATCTCACTGGCCATGAACCTTATCAAGAAAGTACTTTCTCCACTGGTCTTTTGCCTCCTTCTCTACAAACCTTTCATTACATTCTCACCAGAGTATTTTTACCTCGTCCAATCTTCCTTGATCGTGTTCTTCCCTTGGATTTGTGGATCTTCGCACATGCTGTTGCTGCTGTCCCATTGGACTTCTCTCATCTGCTATTTGGAGCTCTTCTCCCCTTCATTGATCACAACTTCCATGCCCCCTTCCTTTCGGGGCTATAATCACTCGACTATTGCTTGCTCTGCCTCTAGATCTCTCAGCCTATCGTACTGAATCCCCTTCTCTTTGGCTCACTGCAAATGATGTTTTGGAGGAGATTGGGATTGCGATTGAGGGGGAGAGTCCCTTCATGCATTGGCTCAGCAGTGACTCAGAGGAAGATGGAGGAGAGGATGAAGCCAGAGAAGCTCTTGAAGAAGAAGGAATCATGGCCCCTATTTTCTTACCATCTTTTGCTGCTGCTCTTCAAGAATTGTATGGTTCTGATTCTGAATCAGACTCACCTGTTGCTCGTAAGACAGATGTTGTGTCATCTAGTGACAGCTCTGATCCTTGATTTATTTCTTGAGTCTTGATTTGTGAGTTGATGTTTCTAGAGTTGTTCTGAACTCAGGGGGAGTTTTTGTTTGTCGAATGCCTTTGTCTGGTTCACTTTATCTGTTCTGTGAGTTTAAGTTCCTTTATTCAAGGAGGATTCTTGTTTTCAAAGGATGGTTTATTTTCTGATATGATGATCTCCTTCATTACTGCATCTTGTGTGGAAAGGTTTTATGCAGGGAAAAGTCAATCGGCAATCTCCAACTTAGGGGGAGATTGTTGATTCAGGCAAGGAAATCAAGTGGAAGATTGCCTATTATGCCCGCTGCCCTTTCAGCTGTATCAAAGGAAACAGCTAGCTAATTTGAAGAGTTTCCTTCTTGGTACATTAACGGCTAGCTAGTTCTGGTATTTATACCTCTCGGTGCTGACTTCTCAAGGCACTTTTGTAGAAGCTTGTTAGCGGTAGAGGGCTTAAGCTTGGCAATTACAAAAGGGGGGTTTTTGACATACACAGGGGTAGAGGATCTGAGTGTGTCAAGGCTGGTCAGATCAAGATTGATCTGGGTTATTTGTTCTGCAATTTATTTGTGTGTTCTTGTTCTTTCTTTTTGCTAAAACTGAAATATAATAAAGGCCTCCTAGACCATATTCTGGGACGTGGAAGTAGACCATTGCACTTGGGCGAACCACGTTAAAAATATCGTGTGCCATTCTTTTCTCAGTCTTTCACTTGCGATTCAGATTTCTTCTTTCGATCCTCTGTTCTCCGTCTATTCCGTTACAAAGAAGAAATCGTCTCTGGCTTTATGATCTAACCAAGACTGGGCTTCGGCCTGTCTATTAAGTTGTACCAGTGGTTATGTAAAACTGAGGTTAGATCGTGGGCTTAGAACTCTTGGGCCCAGATATAAATAGAAGGAACGAACAGTGTCTGAAGACACTTTGTCTTTGTCGTTCCCATCTCTGTCTATTCCCATTCTCGATTTCCCTGAACCCTAAAACTTCTCCTTCTCTGTATCGATTTCAACAAAAAGGGAAAAAATATAGCAGCACAGTACCTGATGTCACGTATGTAATCACTAATCCTCGTACTCGTCCACTAATGCACAAATCCCGCACTTGTTTATGGAAATGCACGAAAATCCTCTTCATGTGTTTATTCTGAATGTGAATAGCTGAATAGGGTAACAAACTCTTATGCTGGAGGAATGAAAGCTCATCAAACTCCTATGTTGGAGGTACGAAACTTCTAACTGATTCATTGTGATCTCTGCAAGATCAATAAAATGGAACATGCACAGACTTGAAGATCACTTCAAGCACAAAGTCCCTGCTCGCAATCTCATAACAGGCAAATCATACAAATTTTAATAAAGATCAAAAGGCAATAAAGGTTTCTGACTATGAAGATGCAAAGCATAAAACTAAAAAACACTCAAACCAAGTAACCACCCAAGAACTAAATACCATAATCCAACCCTATATAGACAACAAACCTTCTAATTATTGAAGCCCGATAGCACCCGATAGCACATACATGTTACATCTAGGAGAAGAGAAAACATGAATGCATAACCAAATACCTGCAGCATGGCAAAAAAGGAATTTTGAGTTCAGATGGCACATCATCAAATACAGAAGTCGGACGCACAGGGCGGAGAGTAGTGATCAGAAACCCCGTCCAAGCAACTCTGGCCAAAAGAGAAAGGGGAAATCTGTTAGAAAAAAGGAATCATTTTGCGCTGTCGATTCGTCCATCCCTCAACGACCAAACCCAGAAAAAGGAAAGGAAACCCCGCCAAAGCACTCTAGCTAAACCGCACAAAGGAAAGAAAAGAATACCTGATCTTGTTGTAATAACCTTGATGGGGTTACATCATCTAGACCTTGGTGGAGCTACGACCGGCCAGCTAGGGATTCAAGCGTAGAAGTATTGACAGAGAAGATAGAATAAGGAAAGGAAAGCACATTCGAGTAAAAGGTTCTGCCGCTCCGGAGGTGGATTGGGGGATTAGGTGTTGGGAACGAAGAATGGCAGAGAAAGCTATGGATGTTGGAGTGCTGAAGTAGGTTGCGTGCATATTTAGAGATTTGGGGTGAGGAGTGCAGATTCGGAGAATGGGGTGAGAGGACAGAGTCTCAGAGCAGAGCCGGAGAAGCGGATTTCCGGGGTTGAAGGGACAGCAAGGAACTGAAGAGAGATGCAGCGAGGGGAGCAAAGGGCTCTCTTTTCTCCTTCCACTAGGCGACAATAAAGCGTAGTCCAGTTTTACATATGAGATAATGGTTATATTGTAGGGGTGATTTGGTGTTTGCTTGTGGCTTCCATCTGGAATGAAAGATGGAGGCAGAAGCATGGCGAATCTCCACGTTCAGCTGCTGAATTGCAGGGGTTGATCAAGTGTGATTTGTTGGCGGTAGGTGCAGCTAGGTGCATTCTTGAAGAACTAGCGTGTTTTGGCATCTCTTGATGCTTTGTTTTCTGGTTTTTGTTCGAGTAACTTTGTTGTGGGTTTTGTAATAGTAGTAGTCATAGCCATTAGTATTGACTAGTTGATTAATAAGATGAGAGCAACAGAAAAAAGTCACATTTTAAATAAGATAATTAATTCTAATTATCTTCATAATATTTCTTTTATTAATTATCCATCTTATATTCGAATCTAGAAAGAATACTAGATAATTAATTCAATATGGCTTTCAAAGCTATTCATTCCCAACAAGAAGTAAGCCCATACCTTTGATGAGTATGTTCAGTGTAGAAGGAGGTGCTCAGAGGTCTCATCCGATGCAAAGCAAAGGCAACAATGGTTAGGAATGCACTACCCTCGAAGTCTGAGTTGATTGGCGGTGAGGATCTTGCGTTGATAGACAAGCCAGACGAATGCAGAAAGCCAGAAACCTTGGTGGGGGCTGCAGTATTCAAGATTATGCAATCAGGGAATGAGTGCCCAAGGCCTTGGAACCCTTCTTCAGTCAATGAGCGGTAGCAGTTGAGAACCAAAAATTTATTACCGGGCAGCAAACAGAATGGCCTGTCGATGCTCCCCTAAACCCACGTGATGAAGATAGAACTCAGGAGTTGTAGGAGAGTTGGTGTGTTCGCCTTATATTACCCCTAAATGTATACTCGAACCGAATGTTCCAGTGGATGGAAGAAACTTCAATGTGAAAAGTCTCAGATAACCAACAATTTTGGTCATTTGCTACCGCATACAACTCCGGAACGCTTTCTGCAAGTGTGCACCGAGTTGTCCATCTATCCTTCCTAAACGAGATCATCGAACCAGAGCCTTCCAAAAGTGGGGAGAGACCTTAATAATGCGCCTCTAAATAGAATTTCCCATGGAACCTGTGACAATATTAAAATTCCAGTAAGCTGAGTGATACTCAAATTTATTGGCAATAAGAGATTTCCACCAAGAATGCTCCACTACCTGGACATTCATTTTGTCAATAAGGAAATATTGAAGTATCGTAAGTCTTTAATAGCAAGTCCTCCGAATGAAACCTCGGCCTTGATCAAGTCCCAAGCCACTAGGTGGATCTTGCGCTCATCTTCACCTACCGACTACAAAAATCGCTTCATAAGATGCTCCAACTTATGGATAATGGATAGAGGTGGCAGTTATGATCCAAATCCATGAATCCAATCCAATCCATCCACCAAATTATCCACCTAATCCAATCCATTTAAATTCAATTGGATTGGTGGATTCATGGATCAATCCATGGATCCAAATGGCAAATTACAATTTGGTACCTATATTTTTTATATTTTACATTTTGGTACCTAAAATTTATATTTTTATACGAAAAATATCATTGGAAAATTACATTTTGGTACCTAAAATTTTTCATTATGACATTTTAGTACCTAAACTTTTCAAAATTTACATTTTGGTCAAAGCCTTGGATGTCATTTTGGATTCATGGATCAATCCACCAATCCATTTGATCCATGGATCCACCAATCCAATCCGCGAATCCACGAATCCGATCCAATTGCCACTTCTAATAATGGACATAGGTGCCAAGAGAAGTGAGAAGAAGTAAACCGACGGAGGTGATAAAGTGCTCCGCAAGAGGGTTATTCTGCCGGCAAGTGAGAGAAGTTGTCCTTTCCAAGTTGAGAGACAGCATGTAGAACCATTCTACTTGCTAAATCGGCGCAACAGTATAAACCGGTTATTGGAACCAGTGTGGTTGACGTGTTCGAAAAGGTACTGGAATGCTGCGGTAGCCACGAGTTCTGGGCTATGTCCTTCCGCAAATTGTATTTATGCGGTACCGACTTCGGCCCCATAGTGTCTTCCATCGCACGTCACCGTCAGAATGAATCCCTTCGTGTTAGGCGGTCTCGAATAGACCTGCGATCCGTCGTTCACGATGGTGACCACTTTGCAGCTCCGTCGCTGCAACATCGTGGGTGGATGCAGCGACGATCCTTTCGCCAACTTCGTTCGTTTGGTTGCTTGAAGCTCGTCGATGTTGTTGTGTCCCTCTGACTCGGTTTAGATATCGGAGTTCTTGTTGCGGAACCTAGAAATTATTCGTTGCAGGGGTGTCAACATTGGCCTATTGGCGGCTCCGAAGCTCGAGTACTCCTTCTGCTACTCGGGTCGGGTGACATTGAGCTTCTCAAGACACTGTGAGGGTGAACCTTCCTTCTCTGGATCAGGCTCCGCGGGGTTCGACGATGAGGTGGCTTGTGGATTTAGGTGTTTGATGAACGTTTTGCGCCATGCAAAGTCTCTCGACTTATGTGTTGAACAAAAGCTACGTGTTCTTTTTCCTTGTTCTTGCTTGTTCCAGGACGCGCTTAATTTACGAGCGCGCTCTCTCCCTATATATATATATACACATCTAAAGCATTTGATTTAGGGTGATGCTTGTCATCTGTGGTTGTTTTTTTTAACATAACAAAAATAAATGTATATATATGATCACTTTGTCTCGTGGTTGATTGTGTTTCCTTTGTTAGTTTCAGACTTTCAGATATCACAAGAGTAATCTTGTCTTGTCAAACTACAGTTAATTATAGATGAGAAAATCTCATGTTTTACCAAAGCGAAGACCCACAAAGTTCAATTCCTCGCGAGTTCGTCAACTTCCTCTCAGCGGACGAGAAAGATCATATTGCAAGTTTTGAGGAACTCTATAAAGTTGTGATTAGATAGACAACGATAACACATGCTCAATTCTTTTTTATTTCGAGTTGATCGAATTCTTGCCGAAAAAAAAAAAGTAGTGTACCTAGTTAGCTGAGTTCCACCGAGATGTAATCGAAAAAATTATTGATTTTTTCTTTTCATTCGTTATGGATCAATAATATTATTCTTTTTTGTTTTTTGTTTTTTTATTTATATTACATTTCCCTTCTCTTTTGGGTGACTTTGGAATATTCAACACCCATTCTACAAAGGTTGTATGTTGGGTTAACTGCAGTACGGCCCAATCAAAAACACCCAGGGTCGGGAACCAAACCTTAGTACGCTTGGGCCTAGCTCTTTTTGATTAAGTAAATTTCGGCTTGTGTGATTAAGTAAATTCCCTTCTCTTTCTTTTCTGAACATGGAATCAATAATCATCACTGCATTTATATCCGCGTATCTTGTTGTTTTTCTTACCGGATACCTTCGACACAAAAAAAAAAAAACTAAGGGGTCGTTTGGATGATGAATTCTAATGGATCAATCTGACACAATTGTCTCGTTTTGAGCCAATTGTGCTAGATTGATCCGTTTGGCAGAAGAAAAATTTGGATGAAGCAATTTAGGCTGGGAAATTCTGAATTGACACATTTTTAGCCAATTACAATTGTCTGGGGTGGGGGCAGGTAATATGAATTGACTCGTTTTAAATGACTCGTTTTGTAAAATGAAACAATTGATCAAATTGTCTCGTTTTACAATTGACCCATCCAAACGACCCCTAAACATACCGAGTACTCAGCGGAGCTCGGTCAAGCTTAAAAGAGCCCAGCCCGAGCTTCAAGTCGTAGGGCAGCAAGGACAGCGATGGTGGCGATGACGCTAGGATGGGAGAAGAATTGGAATTGAATCTACGGTGGTGGGAGGGTGGATACTAACAGCGATGGAGAAGGATGCTTCTGGTCTCGGGAACAAGGAGGCCGAAGTTCCCCAGCGACAGCGGGAAGTGAAGGAGGGAAGCAGGAAACCGACAGCTAGTGTCTGTTGATTTGTTGTCGGGAGACGGAGAATCGCAGGGGACGAGGCGGGAAGTATGGCTTCCCAATTGATAGCTCCACCTTCATCACCCCGAATCTAATCGTCGGTAGCTCGATCATCCTGCTTCTTCCTCCGGAATGAAGTCGGTGACGGTGACGGTGGCGGTGAGGCGGTTGGGATGCCATCGGATAAGCTCTCGGCGCCTCGGTTGTGAAGCGGATTACACCTCCTTTTATTTTCCTTATATGCTTATTAATTATTACTAGCGTTTACCCGACCTGTTGGTCGGTAACCCGAATCTCATTTGTAAGCTTTACGCTAATGAAGATGGTGGGAGCGATATCTAATTACGTGTAAGACTTGGAGAAACCAGCCAATTTCACAATCTAATCGAGCACCAGCCAAACCTCAACTCCATACATCGATCATTTGCAAGGGAACTGGCTCTTCCTCCTCAATTAAATGTTTTTTCATTCTCGCAGGCATCTTCTTCGATTGCAGTGACCAGCTCGCCTCCACCTCGTGGATGTCTCCTCCCGATACCTGCCAGAGTCGGGGGTGGATATTTACTTAATTGTATCTTAAATGGGTAAATTGCAAGTTTGGTCACTGAGATTACTAAAAAGTGTCATGTTTAGTCACTAGAAATATTTAATTCCAATGTTGGTCACTCCAGTAGTCACCGTCATTTATTTGCTGACGTGGTTAACAGAAGTGCTCACTCACTATATTTAAACCGGCCACATCACTAAACTCGACCTACCATGTCATCTTGCCCAATCCAACCCTTGAACCCAACCCATAAACAGGCCCTAAGTCGCCCAACTCTCCAAATCTACTCCATCTCTCATCTCACCCGCCCCCTGGATCTGAAACTTTCCAACGAGAAGACGACGCCAAGAGCTAGGAAAGCCCAAGACGCTTCAATCCCAGCCCGGAATCCTCTTTGTCATACCCAAATTTTGCTTCGTCGCTGCTATTATTGGCTATCTCTGCTGCCATTGATTTGTGCCTCACATTTCCATTATTGTGGGTGAAGGAAGGCTCAGATTATATAGCTTCTCTCCGTCTCTCTCCAACGCGATTGCTCATTCAGATTTTTGCTCTCTTTCACAAGAGCATCGTCAACTCCATCTTCTCACCGGAGCTCCGATTTTAACAACGAATAGGACCGATGCAAGTGAATGAAGGAGGAGGACGATGATCCTGAACCAGAAGACGTTGGAAGAGAAGGGGCGATAATCACAATCCAAAACCCTAAAAATTTACAACCACAACAACAAGAAGTGAAGAAATAAAGAGAAAACGATAGATCTGAATCCTATATGCGACTGTGTTTTCAGGGGAGGGAGAATCTGGGATATTTTACTTTTCCTGGTGTGCTGGGGGATTTACCCAATCGTTGATCCAAATCCGGAGAGCTCATTGTCGACAATCCCAGTCCTCGTCGGCCATTGTCGATCTAATTTGCTCCCCTGAAACATCGTTATTGTTTGTAGTTGGAAAAAGTGGGTTTCGTTCGTCATCTTCACCGACGGTAAGAACCAATTGGGAGGAGAGGGGATGGGTAGGGGGAGCGCTGACAAAACTGTGTCGATCTTGGTAGAAGCCAACACCTCGATTCGGACGGCTGAGGGAGCTCTAATTCGGAACGATTTTGGATCGGCGACAGAACGATTTTGGAGGTGGCAGAGCTGTAGATGCGAATGATGGATCTTAAGACTAGAGGAGAAAATGAAGCTCGGACTCGTTTACCCTTCAAGGTCGACGTTTCGTTCAGCGGCACGGGGAAGTGGAGAAGAAAGGGCTATTGGAAATAAAATAATATTTATTTCCTATTACACTTGGTAGGCACGTTGGCAAGTAGTGTGAGACTTTTGGGTTTATGTTTGGAAATGTTGATGGGCAGGTTTTGGGAGGAATGGAAATGACAGAGAGTGGATAGGCTATTGTGAAAGGGAGATTTTCTTTTATTGCTTTTCTTCTTTCTTTTGCTCTCTCTTGGCTCTGCACACAAACTCCAAAGCTTACAAGCCTATTTATAGGCCTTCACTTACAGAAAAATATCAAGGGAACTGACTTAAGACATATGGTTCCTTTTTTTTCTTTTTGTTTAATCTAATCCAACTAACAACCAACCCTATTTATTTGGGTTCTACAAACTTCTCCAAGACTCATCATACACGTATCCAGACAATTTTGATATTTCCCAGATAAATATTTTAATTAAACTTTATTTATTTCAACACTCCCCCCTTAAAGTTTAATCAATTCTTCATTACTCCGAGTGGCGTCCTCATTTTGACGAATACATCTTGCATCAGCGGCTTCATTAAAATATCAGCAATCTGGTCTTCAGTCTTCACATACTTCAGCATAACTTCTTTCTGCTCCACACACTCTCGTAAGAAATGATATCTTGTATCAATATGCTTACTGCGATCATGAAACACCGGATTCTTTGCTAATGCTAGGGCAGACTTGTTATCCACATAAATTTCAGTTAACTCTTCCTATGTCATGTTAAAATCCTTCAGCAACTTTCTCAGCCATATCGCATGACACGCACACGATGTCGCAGCAACATACTCAGCTTCACAAGTAGATAGTGTCACGATAGGTTGCTTCTTTGAACTCCAAGTGAAAGTTGTATCTCCCACGAAAAATACAAATCCTGTAGTGCTCTTGCGATCATCCACATCTCCTGCCCAATCACTATCGCAGTATCCAACCAATTTGAAATTTTCTGACTTAGTATAAAGAAGACTATGATCGATTGTACCTTTAATGTAGCGCAATATCCTCTTTGCAGCATTCCAGTGTGACATAGTTGGTGCCACCATGTATCTGCTGACTAATCCATCTGCGTAAAGAATATCGAGTCTGGTACAAGTAAGATATATGAGGCTTCTAACAAGGCTTCTAAACTCTGTTGAGTTGACCTTCTCTCCTTTGTCATCCTTTGATAGTTTCAGTCCACACTCAGCTGGTGTACTCACAGGATTACAATTCTCCATCTTAAACTTCTTCAAGACTTCCTTGGCGAAACCACCCTGTGAGATGAAAATTCCTTCCTCTTTGACTTACTTCAATTCCGAGATAGTATGACATTAGTCCGATGTCTGTCATATCGAACTCACGAACCATCGTCTTCTTGAACTCTTCAAACATTTGAGAATCGTTGCATGTGAAGACGAGATCATCTACGTACAGGCAAACCATCAATATTGCTCCCCCTTGCACCTTGCAGTATAGTGCATGCTCATGTGGGCATTTTCTGAATCCATTCTGCTGAAAATACTTGTCAATCCTGCTATTCCAAGCTCTCGGTGCTTGTTTCAGACCATACAGTGCCTTTTTCAGCTTCAACACCTTATCTTCTGGACCTTCAATAATATATCCAGGGGGTTGCTCAATATAGATATCTTCCTCGAGATATCCATTCAAAAAAGCTGACTTCACATCAATCTGATGTATCTTCCATCCATTTTGAGAAGCAAGCGATATCACCATCCTGATACTCTTCATTCTTGATACAGGAGCAAAAACATCATTATAGTCAATGCCTGGTCTCTGACTATATCCTTTAGCCACAAATCTTGCTTTATGCCTGACAACTTCTCCTTTTGCATTCTTCTTTGCTTTAAATACTCACTTTACACCAATGGGCTTCTAGTTCTCAGGTAGTGACACAAGCTCCCAAGTCTTGTTCTTCTCAATTGCTCCAATTTCTTCATCCGTAGCTTTCTTCTATTTTTCATCTTTCATGGCTTCTTCAACATCAATTGGTTCACTATCAATGAAATGACATTAGAGTGTCAATTCATCACCTTCAATGGTTGTCGTTTCCTCATTAGATCTTCAAGACGTCTGTATTTTTGTGGCCTCTCTTTTGGACTTTCACTTGAACTTCCTTCTGGGGTGGCTGGCTCTCTGTGACTGGGTGGACTTGTCACAGGTGTAGCTATATCTGGTTCATCATCACTTTCATCCATAGTGAATGGATAAAAGGTGTAATTCTTCTTTGCTTCAGCGGTCCAATCCCATGTTGCTTCTTTATCAACTACCACGTCTCTGCTGATGATCAACTTCTCTTCCACGGGATCAAACATTTTGTAACCTTTTGAGTGTTCTGAGTATCCCAGGAATATGTACTTCTTGCTTTTGTCATCCAACTTCTTCCTTTCTTGATTTGGTACGTGCACATATCTGACACTTCCGAAAACTCGGAGGTAAGAGATTGTGGGTTTCCTTCCGCTCCAAGCTTCTTGGGGTGTTTGATTCCAAACACTCTTTGTTGGTAACCTATTCAGTAGGTAGATTGCAGAATCAACGGCTTCAACCCATAGCTCTTTCGGCAGGTTTTTGCTCTTCATCATGCTTCTCGCCATGTTGAGTACAGTTCTATTCTTCTTTTCAACAACTCCATTTTGCTGTGGTGATCTTGGGATTGTGAGAAACCTACGAATTCCTTAATATTCACAGAACCTTCAAAACTTCTTCAGCATAAATTCTCCCCCTCTATCAAATCTCATTGCTTTGATGTAGCGGCCACTTTCATTCTCCACCATCATCTTGAACATCTTGAAAGCTTCAAATGTGTCTGACTTCTGCTTTAAGAAGTATACCCATGTCTTTCTACTGTAACCGTCAATGAACAATAGGAAGTATTTGTTCTTCCCGAACGATGTTGGGGTGATCGGTCCACAGAGATCTGCATGGACAAGCTCAAGTGGTGCTTTAGCTCGTGACAGGGACTCCTTCGGGAAACTTGCCCTGAATTGCTTTCCAACTAAGCATCCTTAACACAATTGGTCTGGATGATTGATCACTGGCAGACCATGCACCATTCTTCTGACCGAGCAACTTAATGCCTCCAAAATTTAGATGGCCATACCTCAGATGCCATAGCCATGTATTGTCCTTCACACACACTTTCAAGCACTTCGCCATTTTTGTCTGAATGTTCAGGGTGAAAATTCTGTTTCTCGACATTGGGACTCTGGCCAACAACTGCCTCTTCTCATTTAATAGCTCCAGTTGACGATTCATCATGTGGACTTCATAATTCTTCTCCATCAATTGACCCAAACTCAGGATGTTACTAGTCATGTCCGGGACATAGTACACATCACTGATAAATTGTTGTGAGCCATTCTTGAGACGGATGAGTATAGTTCCTCTGCCTTTGATAGGAACCTTCGAGGAGTCTCCAAATACGACATTTTCTTTCACTGATTCATCCATATCCACCAAAAATGTTTCTTTTACCGCACATGTGGTTGCTTGCTGCATTATCCAGATACCACATGTTGTCTTTCGGTTTCTCATCTCCTTGATGTGACAGCATCAATGTGCCTTTGATTTCTTCTTCTTTCACGTTGTTTTTTGTTTCCTCCACTTCTTTAGGCGGACTCCAACATTCCGATGCATAATGTCCGTACTTCGAGCAATTATGGCACTGGACGTTGGATTTATCACGACCTTCATTTGATCTCCAACTTCCTCTTCCACGTCCACGACCACGACCTCTGCCTCTGGTGGACGTTTCATAGTTGTTCGTAGTGAAATTTCCTCCATCTCTGCTTTGATATGCTCCTCGGGCTCTTCCTCTGCCTCTGTAGTTGCCTCTACCTCGACCTCTGTTGTAACCTCCTCCTCGTGCGCCTTCTTTCTCCTCCGTGGTAGCTTTTGTAGCTAACACTTGTTCTGATGATTCTTCATTTCTTTTATTTAGTCTTTCTTCATGTGCTTGCAATGAGCCGATAACTTCATCAACTGTCATCTTTGACACGTCTTTTGCTTCCTCCATGGCCACCACCACATAGTCGAACTTCGGTAATAATGACCGTAGAATTTTCTCCACCACTTTGGTCTCTTCAATTTTCTCCCCATACTGCTTCAGTTTGCTGGCGACTGACTTCACACGAGCGGTGTAATCTGAAACAGATTCACCTTCCTTCATTTTAATGGCTTCAAAATCTCCCCTTAGTGTCTGAAGTCGAACCTTCTTCACTAGTTCCACGCCTTGCATTTCCTTTTGCAAAATCTCCCATGCTTCCTTTGCCGTGGTAGCATCTGCTATTTGATCAAACATCGATTCAACAAGACATTGATGAATTAAAGTGAGTTCCTTTTCATCACGCTTTCTATTTTTTCTCAATACCTCCTTTTCAGCAGGAGATAACCGAGAATCCTCTACGGGAATCTCATAGCCTTTTTCGACAATATCCCAAGCATCTTGGGATCCAAGTAAGGCTTTCATACGAATGCACCAATTTTTGTAATTGGTTTTGGTAAGCTGGGGGAATTGAATGGGGAAACTTAATTTTTGGCCAATGGACAATCGTGGTAACAAAAACACGAGAAATTATTTTCTGATGTGGAAGTTCAGACTACGCTGCAACCATAGAGCATACTTAAGAATAACTCGGGCTCTGATACTAGGGGTGGGCATTCAGTCGGTTCAGTTTCGACCAAACCGAAATTATGAATACCGGGTTCCCGAATTCTCCCAAACCTCAAACCGGATTCGAACCGAATTATAATTCGATTCGGTTCAGTTTTTAACACAAAACCGAATTTGTGCGGCTACTTGTATATTCTCACTTTTAAAGTATTTTTCACTCCTAATATAAACAATATATATGCAATTATATGCATAATCAATGATAAAATCAAACTTTTCAACACATAAGTCATAAAACATTTCAAATATTTAAGTATAAAAACAACTACAAATATAAAAATCCACCATTTAGAGGTTGCAAATTTAGTAATTCGGTTTTCCGGTCGGAAATTCGGAATTTCGGTTCGGTTGAAAGAACCCTAATTTCTGAAATATCTATATTTTCCTTCCGAATTCCGAACCGAATAGCATTATTTCGGTTTCGGTTCGGTTTAATTCAGTTTCGGTTCGGTTCGACTTTACCGAACCGTTTCCCACCCCTATCTGATACCGCTTTGTTGGAAATAAAATAATATTTATTTCCTATTACACTTGGTAGGCACGTTGGCAAGTAGTGGGATACTTTTGGGTTTATGTTCGGAAATGTTGATGGGCAGGTTTTGGGAGGAATGGAAATGGCAGAGAGTGGATAGGCTATAGGGAAAGGGAGATTTTCTTTTATTGCTTTTCTTCTTTCTTTTGCTCTCTCTTGGCTATGCACACAAACTCCAAAGCTTACAAGCCTATTTATAGGCCTTCACTTACGGAAATATCAAGAGAACCGACTTAAGACATATGGTTCCTATTTTTTCTTTTTGTTTAATCTAATCCAACTAACAACCAACCCTATTTATTTGGGTTCTACAAACTTCTCCAAGACTCATCATACACGTATCTAGACAATTCTGATATTTCCCAGATAAATATTTTAATTAAACTTTATTTATTTCAACAAGGACAGCGGGTTGTGGAATAGACTATTGGGTCGAGTCATGGGTTGGGAAGGGTCGGGTCACAGGTTGGTTCGTTTTGATGATGTGGCGGGTCAAATATAAATTTTTTTGGGTTAAAAAAAGCTAATTAGACATTTCTGTTAACCACGTCAGCAAAAAATTGACGCCGTTAACGGAAGCTAACGGAGAGTGACCAAACATGAACTGTTTGACTAATTCGAGTGACCAACATTAGAATTAAATATTTCTAGTGACTAAACATGACACTTCTTAGTAATCTCATGACCAACCTTGCATACCCTATCTTAATATAATTAGGGCGATGAATAAGGATTTTTAGGACGACGAATAGCAATCCCCAACATCACCATTTGAGTACTTTACTATTCATCGCCGCCGTGCCATCTCATCGCCCGGTGGATGTCCTGGATAATACGGGCGAAGATCAAGGGAAGTTCGAGTAAGTGTAGCAGGAGAGAAACGGTGGGGCCAAGGTGTTTGATCAATGGTCTCAAACTCTCAATGAAGGTAAGTAGGTTGGTGTATCAAAAATTCAAAATGGTCTTTTATTTTATTAAAAAGAGCCGGCTTTTGCATTCCTCCGAATTTTGATAGGCGATAGCTTGGGGATTCGGATTTCTTTTCTTTTTGTCCAATGGGTTGCAGGAACAAGACTTGTTTCACCGCCGCGACGAAAACGAGTTGGACAGGTTCAATACGGTGCGGGTGGAATACAGCATGGCGGGGAGCGAATCCGGCAGCTGGACAGCGTGGTGGGAGAAGTTATTGAGTCCGCGGCGGAGAGCAGTTCTGGGGTGGACGACAACTGATTTTGAGAGTCGGGTTTGGGGTTGGAGACGGATTGTTGCTAGGTTTTAGTTTATGTTTGAAGTTAGGGGTATAAGTATCATTTTAGTGTGATTTAGGGCGATTTATTTTGAATTTTAGGGCGACGAATAGCGATTCAGATCTTAAATCCACCCTTATTTGTTTTGTCCCCGAAATCTCAAATCATTACGTTGCAAACATATATCTCTAAAAGTGTGTAAATGTGGGCCAACCCACCTCGAGCCAACCAGGAACTCATAAGTCATAACCCATATGCTTCATGCATCAACTTTTTCCCCTCTCGCCATTCAAGTTAACAACTTTGATTACTATAGTTTTAGTTAGCAACTAAACAACCATAAATATTACTAACAATGCAAGCTTTTAATTTATAGTTATATGAAAAATTATATTTATTATGGGGGAGAATTGGGAGTTGCATTCCTAGAAGAAAATACAAGTGGCATTAATCCAACTAAATAAAAATGGCGTGTTATCATAACCAAGACAAACCTTTAACTAAAATATACCCAATGATTTAGTCTTCGCATGAAAATAAGGTCTACATAAAAGCCGAAATTACCAATTGTATGGTAACCAAGACGAACCCTTAGAGCATCTCCATCAATGCAATTGTAAAAGAAATTGTATTTGTGTTTTTTATTGTCAACTCATTTTTTTTGCAATCCACATCACATTTATTTCATTCACCTACATCAATGCAATTAACTTGCAATTGCAAATGTAATTAAATATTATGTTTAAATTATAGAAAATTAAGTAAAAGAGAAAAAAATTCCCATTTTTTAGGCTTTTTTTACTTGCATATGGAATTGCATTTGTTGCAAGCTTGCAAGTATGCAATTGGTATCCACATCAATATAATTGGTTTTGCAATTGCAAACACCTATGCCATGTCATTTTGCAATTGAGAATGCAATACCAATGTGAACATGCTCTTACCTAACATTTCAACAGAGCCATCCATACAGATATATTTGATCCATGCCTACATAAAGAAAGTTAATGTGATGAACGAACGGAACCAGATACTACCCCTTGACATAAAAGGTGGGAACAACGTAGACATATATAAATTGACGACCTAACAAAAACTAATACAACCGGCAGCTGGTTTTAGTTTTGCCTAAAATGGAGTAGTTTAGTATGGATGTGGTTTCCAAGTGGTTTATAGCTTGGTAGTTCACCTAATCATATACTAAAGAAGGCAAACAGATTCCGTGTTTTTGAAATTGGGTCTAAAGAGTGTAAATTGGAAGCAAGTTGCTATTATTGAGCTATTTTCAGCTGTAAACTTTGTAGATCAATGTTTTAGAAATAGTAACCTCCCATATTGATCGGCTTATAAATATCGAATATCGGACGCTAAATGGTAAGTGATCTTAATAGTATGAAGCAATTAAACAATGATTCAGCACAAAATACTATACCACTGATTTTTCCTACATAACTTTCACGCTACCAGTAGATTGTCACATTTTAATGGGGAGGGGGTAGAATTAGGTCCTTAGTTAATTGAGAGAGGATCCATAATTCCATACAATAAGTGTCCATAGAGCCCAATCTCATGCATAATTCATTTCATGTGTGACGTAATTGCGAAATATTTTGTGCAATACCAGTTCTCACTCATTGCTGGAATTGTTGCATATTCCAACTTTTACCATAAAGTTCTATTAATTCCCATAGTGAGAAGCCTGAGTTGCAGAAGTAGTTGTCGTCCCAAGAGCCTCACCAAGATTCACAAGGGTGGAAGCTATTCTTCCAATGTGAGATGAATCATATAGAAACAAACAGGCATGATGTAATGCTCTAGTTATCACCATTATCACTTCATGACACCACACGGTTCTTCATCTTTAGATCTTGGACTAAAGTTGTAGCATTCACATAAGCAGCAGCCCCAAAACCCACTCGCGTAACACATGTATTACTATGAAGCTAAATTTGGTACTCTCCCACCCAATTTCATTACCAATTATAATCGTCAAGTGGTCAGTACCAAGCATGAAACTTTCACCATGGCAACAAATTATGGATCGTCAGTCACAATACCATGCATGTCACTGTCTAGACTCTAACCCCAACACTAATTATACCGAAAGGCAAAAAGGGATCAAATGAATAGTCGGCGAATCCGGCCTAAGATCACAGGCAGCACATGAATCGTTGATGGGGTAGAAGGGAGAAACGGAAGTACCTCGTAGAGGCTCTGTTCATCGCTGGAGGACTAATCGAGCATCTCTAGTGACGGAAATAGTCCTCCACTCAATCTCCAAGACCGCCCACAATGACAAGTGAATCAAAGAATAGTTCTTGACCTTCAACATGTCCAATGTCTCTACATACTTCTCAACTCTCTTTACCGAAGGAGGCTTGAGCTCTGATGTCGGTCTCGTGGTAGGTTGCCCGCACTTGACCTGGACCCTAATTGTCGATTGAGGAATGAGTCTGTGATAGAAATCTCAGTTTTGCTTTTCAAACAGCATGTCGGCGGGTCTCATCTCCCACTGTGCTCCCATGGAATCTGGTGAACCACCAGCTGCCGACTTGTCATTAGTCGTCACCGCCGTGGGTGGTTTCATACCAACCAATAACCAAAATGTAACTACAGCAAATCTGAAAATCTGTAATGATATAAAATGAAAAGCAAAGCAATATTTAGCTAATGGAAATAGTGAGCGTAAACATAGGCATTTATCAGCCAGATGAAAAATGTGAGAAACATCACATTTATTTAAAGAAGTTTAAAGAAGCAGTGCATATTTGTGATTCATTATCCTTGCAAAGCTAGGTGTTCACCGCTGCTAAGAAAAGCTATAGGGATCTGGCTAGACAGCTTAAAGAAGAAGTGCAACATTCCTGTTTTGGAAATGAGGAAGTGTCTAGGCTGATATCCTTGTCTAGCTTTGCAAGGATAATGAATGTAAACTGATAAGTATTCAGTGTAGGAGAAGAAGAATCAAGTGAAAGAGGAAATGACGATTGAACAAAATTGTAGATTAGGGATTTTGACTTAAGGGTCAATTGAAAGATCTAACCGGTTGGAAAATCTTGCCAATTCAACAATCTCCCCCTAAGTTGGAGATTGCCAATTGTCCGCTTGATTCCTGCAAAACAGATACTGTCTCCCACACACAAGAGTAAATAACACATAGAACAAGAAAAATTCCACCACACCTCCCAGCAAGCAAATATTCAACTCATAAGAGAGAGTAAATCCAGAGAGTAGCAAATATTCAGCTGGGAAAAAGACACGTCCAGCAAACCAAAGCATCAAACCAAAGCATCAACTGTTATCAATCGAAAGAAGTTCTAGTCAGATTCATAAGCATCTCGAAGATCAGCAAGCACATCACTTAATGGAGGGGATCCAGGATCAGCGTCCTCCTCATCACTATCACTGCTGCTGCTGCTGTCACTGCTGCTGCTGATCCAATGCACTTCTATATCTGGATGAGGTTCTTCCTCTGGAACATCGTCTGAAGAGTCTGAAGGGTCTGAGGGTTCCTCCCCCTCAACGGCAATGGCAATCTCGTCCAGGACATCATCAGCAATAATGTAGATAGTAGGAGTAGTGGAGCGGAAAGGATCAAGGGAAATTTCAAGACGAGTGATGAGTCGAGTGATGAGAGGGCCGAAAGGAAGATGACCGTGGTATTGGAAATACTGGAACATATAGAGATGTCCAAACAGCAGGTGGGAGAAATCCAGAGGGACATTGTTCACAGCATGCTGAATAACCCAAAGATATAGAGGGGTGACTCTATCTAAAAGCACGGTTCTAGGAAGGAAGCGATGAGTGAGAAAGAAGTGAAAAGTTCGGATACCCGGTAACAGAAATGTGGTGGGAAGGGTGAGCAAAGCATCTGGAGCATGACCAGTTAGTTGCACAAACTCTTGCTCAATGTCAAAGTTGAACAGAACTAGCTCGGACTCATGGGCTAAAACTTCACCAACCTGGGGAATATCAAGTAGACGACTAAGATCAGCAAGAGGAATGGTGACAAGATTACCATAGACCAGGGTGGTAAACGTGCGAGTTTCTAGACCAAACGACCTAAAGTTGGAATAAAAGAGGCGAACTGCCTCAGGACAGATATGTTCCAGGGTTTGATCAGTAAGAAACTCCCATCCCAGGTTACGAATAAGGTGAGAAAAGTCAATACCATAATCAACTAGACCAGCATGAGGAATCTGATAGGTAGGAATAATGGGGCGACGAGCATAAGAAGTGGCATGCCTATGGGCATTAGCAGGGATAGGATCATGAAACAGGGTACCTGTATAGGTGATGGAGAACTCGAACACCATTGAAAGGACTAGGTCAGACCGCTAAGACACAAACTAAGAATGAATGACCAGACTCAGAACATTCAGACGTATAAATACTTAAACTAACACACATAAAAGGTAATCACATAAAAGAGGAAGAATTGCAAAAGGAAAGCAAAAAGAAAACTAAGGTAAGAAGAGCATCTTAATCAGATCAAATTCTCCAGATTTTCTGGAGATCGAAGCCCGAGTTCATAGCAAAGGAAAGTAAATCGATCTGCATTTAATGGCTTAGTAAACAGATCTGCCAGTTGGAATTCAGTAGGAATATGATTTAATTGAATTAAATTTTTCTCGACTAATTCCCTGATAAAATGGAACTTAACTTCTATGTGTTTAGTTCTGGAGTGTTGCACAGGGTTTTTGGACATACATATGGCACTGGTGTTGTCACAGAACAAGGGGATTGTCGAGGTAAAGATTTTATAATCTAGAAGCTGATTTTTAAGCCAGATGAGTTGTGTACAGCAGCTCCCTGCTGCAATGTACTCAACTTCTGCAGTAGACAGAGCTACTGCTCCTTGTTTCTTACAGGACCAAGACACTAAAGAGGTTCCTACAAACTGGCAAGTCCCAGTGGTACTTTTCCTATCTGAGAGGCTTCCTGCAAAGTCTGAGTCACTATAGCCTATTAGATTGAAGTTGTCATGACGTGGATACCACAATCCGACCTCAGGAGTTCCTTTTAAATAACGAAAAATTCTTTTAAGAGCACTAAGATAGCTTTCTTTAGGAGCTGATTGGAACCTAGCACATAGACATACACTGTGTTGGATGTCTGGTCTACTAGCAGTCAGGTAAAGTAAGGAACCTATCATGCCTCGATATTTCTTTTCATCAACTAATTTCCCTGAGATATCTTTGTCAAGCTTAAGGTTTGTTGCCATAGGTGTAGGGCTAGTATTGATTGAGTTCATATTGAATTTTAGTAGCATTTTCTGAAGGTATTTAGATTGGTTGATGAATATCCCAGAGGAGTTTTGTTTAACTTGTAGTTCAAGGAAAAATTTTAACTCTCCCATCATGCTCATTTCAAAAACTGACTTCATGGTTTCACAAAATTCAGTGCATAGTTTTGGATCACTGGATCCAAAGACTATGTCATCTACATAGATCTGAACAATGAGGATATGGTCAGACACATGTTTTATAAATAAGGTTTTATCAATGCTTCCCTGAGTGAATGATTTTTCTATTAGAAAGGATGATAGACGTTCAAACCAGGCTCTAGGAGCCTGTTTAAGACCATACAAGGCTTTGTTCAACTTGTAAACATAGTCAGGGTGCTCAAAATCAACAAATCCAGGAGGCTGAGCCACATAGACTTCCTCATGTATCAAACCATTAAGAAATGCACTTTTCACATCCATTTGATATAATGGAAATCCCATAAAACTAGCAAAAGCACACAGTAATCTAATGGATTCAATCCTAGCCACTGGAGCAAAAGTTTCATCAAAGTCAATTCCCTCCTCTTGGAGATATCCCTGAGCAACTAATCTAGATTTATTTCTAATGACAACATTATCCTCATCAGATTTATTTCTATAGATCCATTTAGTACCAATAACTGTAATATTTTCAGGTCTTGGAACTAAATCCCAAACATGCAAGTGTTCAAATTGGTTTAGTTCTTCTACCATAGACAGACTCCATTCTTCATCTTGAATGGCTTCTTTCCAGTTTTTAGGTTCAAATTGGGAAACAAATGCATACTGGCCAGGAGAGTACTTACCTCTGGTTTGAAGACCATCACTGAGTTTACCAATTACTTGACTTTCAGGATGCCTCTTCTGAATATGAGGAGGGGCTTTTGGCACAGCTTCTGCAGTTTCTGTATTTTTTGTAGTTTCTTCTTGAGGTTCGAGAGGCTGATGCATGTCTGGAGTAACCTGCTCACTCAAAGACTCTTGACCAGAAGATGTGAGTTCACTTAAGTCGATAGTTACTGGATTTGTTGAAACACCAAACAAGGTTTCATTGAATAACACATGTACTGACTCTTCTACTTTCTTAGTACGCTTATTGTAAACCCTATAAGCTTGACCTTTTGTTGAGTATCCAAGAAAAGTAGCAGGATTAGATTTTGCATCGAACTTACCAAGTGAGTCCCGAGTATTTAGAGTATAGCAAGGGCATCCAAAAGGGTGAAAGTAAGAAATCTTAGGAGTTTTACCTTTTAATATTTCATAAGGAGTTTTATTCAATTCTTTTCTAATTAGAACACGATTTATAACATAACAAGCAGTGTTTACTGACTCAACCCAAAAGAACTTAGGTAAATTATAATCTAACAGCATAGTTCTGGCACACTCTATTAGGGTTCTATTCTTACGCTCAACTACTCCATTTTGTTGAGGGGGATCTAGGAGCAGAGAAGGTGTGCAGGATTCCTAATTTGTCACACAAATTAGCAAATTCATCAGAAATGAATTCACCCCCATTGTCACTCCTAATAGATTCTAGGGACTGTTTATGCATTGTGAGAAATGACCTAAATTTTTCAAATGTTTCATCCTTGTGTGCCAAAAAGAATACCCATGTATACCTGGAGAAGTCATCAACTAGCACATATACATAATTTTTTCCTCCTAAACTAGTCACATTACATGGACCAAATAAGTCCATGTGTATTAATTCGAATGTTCTAGATGTTGTTATATCTGGTTTTGGTTTAAAGCTCTTTTTCTTATGTTTACCAGCAGCACAAACATTATAGAAGAATTCAGCTTTATCTTTAAGCTTGGGAAGACCTCTAGCTAAGTTAAGCTTTGATAGACTGGACAACTTTGCTATACTGATGTGACCTAGTCTTTTGTGCCACAATAGTTCAGATGATAGGGATGAAGCTTGTAGGCATTTGGCATTAAACATGCTTGAGTCAGTTAGATCCACAACATACATGTTATTAACTCTTTTGCCTACTAATATGATCTTGTTTTCAGTAATTTGTTCCACTAAGCATTTATCATTTTCAAAAATGACTCGATTACCATTACTGCATAGTTGGCTAATTGAGAGAAGGTTGTGTTTTAACCCATCAACTAGAAGAACATTTTTTATTATAGGTAAAGGGCTATTCCCAATGCATCCAGAACCAACTATTTCCCCTTGACTGTCATCCCCAAAGGTAACCTTTCCACCACGTTTCATAGTTAAAGAGTTAAAAAGGTATTTCTTACCTGACATGTGGTGTGAACAACCACTGTCCAAATACCATTTTGAATCATCATAGGAATGCAGATTTTTACCTGATCCATGGAGAGGTTCTGAGTCATTTTGTTTATTGAAGGCCATGAAGGCTTCTTCATCTTCTTGAATTTCTTCTTCTTCTGATTCATAATCACTCCAAGTGGTGGCCTTCATTGCTCTTTCCTTAGCTTTTAGGGTGAGTGGACAGTTCGCTCTGATATGTCCAGGCTTCCCACATTTGTAGCAGTCTTGAATTTCTCTATCTTGATTACCTGTCTCAAATGATCTGGTCTGCGGAGTTCGCAGCCTATTTTGTGAAAAAATTTTGACTTTGTCAAAGTGGTTAGAACGATTAAACGAACTCCTATCATTACCCTTATGCTTTTGCTCTTGCTTGTATTTCAGCATTCTATGAAATTTATTACTAACAAGAGCAAATTCCCGATCAAACTCTTCTCCTAGCTCAGAGTCAGAATCATATTCATTCACTAGAGACTTAAAGGCTAGTGATTTCTTACGTTTCTCATCTTCTTTATTGACTTGTTTAAGTACATGTTCATGGCTTAGAAGAGATCCAACTAGTTCATCTATAAGTAGAGTGTTCAAATCCCTAGCTTCCTCTATGGCAGTTCGCTTAGGTAGCCATTCTTTAGGGAGGGATCTTAAAATTTTTCTATTTAGGTCTTTGGCGAGATAGATCTTCCCTAAACCTTTCAGTTTGTTAATCAAAATGGTAAATCGAGAGTACATTTCATTAATTCCCTCACCTGGAGCCATGTCGAAGCATTCATATTCGTGAACCAGAAGATCGATTCTGGTTTCCTTGATGTTCGATGAGACTTCGTAGGTATTTTCCAGTGAGCTCTAGATCTCTTGAGCCGAGTCACAGTGCTCCACTTTATCTGCCTCGTCAGGTGTCATAGCCGTTTGCAGGATGTGCATCGCCCGCTGATTCAGCTGGGCGCTCTTCTTTTGTGCAGCCGACCAGAAGTTCTGCTGTTCTGCCTCCATTTCGAGAGGGCCATCGCGCACGAATGACCATAGCTCTTCATCTACCCCCCAAAGGAAGGTCTTCATTCGCTTTTTCCAAGCGGTGTAGTTTGATCCCGTGAAGATTGGCGGATGGTTGTAAGAGGCATGACCGAAGTTTGCGGAAGCCATCACTCTGAATCTTCCCTTGGCAGCAACAAGCTTCAATCAAGAGACCTGCTCTGATACCACTTGTAGGAGAAGAAGAATCGAGTGAAAGAGGAAATGACGATTGAACAAAATTGTAGATTATGGATTTTGACTTAAGGTTCAATTGAAAGATCTAACCGGTTGGAAAATCTTGGTTCAGACAGATCTGACCAAGCTTACCGATCAAGCACTAGAGAACCAATCACAATGGGCTCAGTTAATTTAAGCCCACTCCACCTGAGAAGACTGATCCAGACTTTGATCAGTTTTGGCCCAAGCCCTGAGAAGAAGGAACAGGGAAGATCATCTTCTTCACAGAGCCAAGGCTCGGTCGAGACAGAGAAGCATAACAGGGGATGAAGAGAGTTGCAGAATCTTAAAGAACACCAGGGATTTTTAACGAGGTTCGCCACAGGGCTACTCCTCGTCCCAGGATAGTACCACAATCCTGAGAGACACTTTGATTTTCTTTTTGATTGACGCAAGAAAGAAAAGAACAGAACAATACGAATTACAGACACAAGTGAGAAAATCAAAGTGCAATAGACCTAGACCAGAATTCTCGCAGGAATTCTCAACACCCTTCGATCAAGCTGAACCTCTACCCCAGCTTGAATCAAAGCCACTGAATCCCAAACCCAACCCTCTGCTATTTCTCAAAGGAATCCATGTTTGGTTCAGTGCCGAGCTTCTTCCCTTCAGCTTCTTTAAATAGCTCTTACCAGTAGCCGTTGGAGATTGAGGTTGGACCAGAAAGGGTAAGTGGAATCAGTTGTTGATTGATATCTCGATTAATTGATTTGCTCCCCCTTGATCCATGATCTGGCAATCTCCTAACTTGATTCTAACTTTGAATCTTGCCAATTCAACATTCAGCAGTATGCTTGGTAGTTCTTAGAAATTGATAGCAGTAGAAGGATAAGCCTTAAACTGTATGTTTTTTTAGAAACTCAGATTAGTCTGACTAAGTTGGAGCTATAAACGAACAACAACAATTACCGAAAAAAGAAATTGTTGCCAAGAGTGTACATTATCCAGAGTCGAGCTGGTTATCATATACTCCTCTCTGCACTTGTTCGTGGTCAAAACAAACTGGCAGCGACTATGGAAAACCAACACAAAGGGATTGAGATCTCAATTACTTAGGCGGGCAAGTTTTTACCTGTACTATGAGACGGCTTTTGGGCAGCTCGAGAGGGTATGTGAAGAAGGTGGAAGAAATACCAGCTAAGCCACCGGCAATTGAGGATGCAAGAATTGGCATCATCGACTTCTCCCCAGGTTTAGGGGTCAAGTTCTTTAAAACGGTATCATAAGCAAATAACTGCAGAAGAATCCAAGAAAAGCAGAGTTAGTCGATTAAGTTATAAACCAATGTTTGGATGGCAACAGGTTCTCTGCTTCCATAGGTTTAACATAAAAAGCCAGTATGTCTATTCAAATGAGTACTGTTACAATCTAATTCATAAGAATTAATTCTTTCAGTGATGATCATATGATGTCACAATAACAGGCAACCCAAAATACGGTCCTCAAGGGTTTGCCCTGAAGGCTAAAGTTATGATGTCAGTCATTTAATTATTGATGTCATTCATTTAATTATGAAACCCTAGGCGCTCCGAAAAAATAGGACTCATAGGGCAGCTCTTTCCGAAACCCGTTTCCATGGCCGCTGCGCTTCCGGGGAATGGTCCCCAGGCGGCGAAGCCCTCGGATCCCACTGCTGGTGTGTGTCGGCCAGCCTTAGCCACTTCGTCGGCGACGGGGAAGGGCGAGAAGGAGACCCAACAGGCAAAAAAGAGGGCTAAGCCTTTGACGGCGAATCCTCTATTCGAACATGCAGCAATGGAAACAACTCCTATCGTCGGTTCAGAGGCGGACAACCCGGGTACTGCCGACTTTGGCAATCAGGATAGTTCGGGAACCCAGCTTCATACTGCATGGGGTGGAGCGAACAGGACACTTTTCAGCGAAGTTTTGTTGTAGGACGAGTACTATGTTGCGGAGTCCGACTCCGAGGACGTAGCCAGTGCAATGCGGGAGGATGATCTTGATGATGAGGTACCCGAGGATGATGATCCTCACTGTCCGACAAACCCCTTTCGAGCCATGGAGAAACAACGTTTGCGCCGATAGTGGAGATCGGCTCTGATTGTCAAAGTCCTAGGCCGAACATTCCCGTTCCCGGTAGTCTCTCGACGTTTGCAGCAGCTATGGGCAAAGTGCGGCACACTACAAATATCCAGTATCTCGTGGGGGTACTACATAGTGCGCTTCGCGTCCCAATTCGACTATGAGCAAGCGGCAGCAGGAGGGCCGTGGATGATGGGGGATTATTACCTGACTGTGCGCCCGTGGCGGAAGAACTTTGATCCCCAGACAGCTGAGGTTGCTACGATTATGGTATGGGCTCAACTTCCCAAACTACCAATGGAATTCATCAACCGTGAGGCAGTGGAGAGAATAGCTTCACGGATAGGGAAGCCTGTGAAAGTAGATCGAGCTACTATGACGGGGGATCGTGGCCGCTATGCTCGTGTCTGTGTCGAGGTTGACTTGACAAAACCTCTTCTATCTCAGTACAAAGTGGAGGGAAGAAGAAGACCAAGGTTTATGGAGATTGGATGATGGCTAAGCCGAGGAAGAAGAAGACCAAACAGAACGAAGTTGCTCAGACCCCGAGGACTTCCACTACCAAGACTAAAGAGACGCTTAGGGCCAAGGTGACGGCTACTCCTGTTGGGTCGAGATTCAAAGAGTTGGCATCATTAGAGGAATCTGATAATGAAGATGATGTTGAGGAAATTTTGATGGAAAATCCACCCGAGTCAGAACCGATCACTAAGGTCGACAGCCAGGTCGTCATGGATAAAGACGCACCCCAGCGAAATAATACTTCCCGTCCCGATCAAGCATTTCCGATGATGATGGACGCCCCAGTGGCTCCACCATGCCTCGTCGAGGTGCCCATTCATCAGGTTGGGGGCATCCCCGATGCCACTGTCAATATGCGACCGAATGATAGGGGAGGAGGACCTGGGGCTTCTGAAGCTCCTTCCACTTCAATCTCAGCGAGCCCTCTTTCCTCCCATCCAAAGAGGGATGCTCGAGGAGTCACCCAGGGACATGGGTCACCGAAACAAGAGCACAGGAAGCTGCCACCTAGTGTAGCTGGCAAGGGTTCCCAACGCGCTAAAGAGCAACATGAAACGGGGGCTAACATAGCCCCAGTCTTAGGGCGTTGATCGCCGGCCGGTGCCTCGAGCCACCGTGTTCAGGGAAGTCTCTTCCTTGTGTTGTCTCTTCCGGTGTGACCTTTTTTGCTTTACCGTTATGTTAGAGATTTTATCGTGGAATTGGCAGGGGGCGGGGCATGACAACTTCGTCCCTTTCTTGTTTTCGTTTATTGGTTCTTCTAGGCCTGATATGATTTTTATCCATGAGCCCCGCATTAGCGAGAAGACTGCCCGCCAGGTTATTTCCCGCCAGGGATTTGATGGGGTTCTAATGGTGGATGCTCGCGGTTTCGCAGGTGGCATTTGGGTCCTATAGCGAGAATGAGAACTCAAGGTGGACCCAGTCTATGATTGAGAACAAATGATCCATATTAGAGTCTCAAGGAGAGGGGAGCGGGCGCAGGAAGTGTTGGTTTCAGCCATCCATGCCAGCCCCAACGCTTCGCTTTGCCAGGATCTTTGAACGGAGTTAGTTTAATTATCCCGCATAGCGCGTCTTCCATGGGTGCTTGCGGGTGATTTCAACTCTATTTTGGGTCCGGCTTATAGAATGGGGTGTTGATTTGGGGGAGAGTGAGCTTGTTGATTTGGGGTTCTCCGGTCCCTGCTACACCTGGCGCATAGGTAATTTGTCTCGGCGGTTGGATAGAGCTCTATGCAACCAAAGGTGGATGCTTAAGTTCCCGAACACCACGGTTTGCCACCTGGAGCGCATTAGATCTGACCACCAACCCATACTGATCCGAGCTACGACAAAGACTCCTTGGCAAGTCCGTCCTTTTTGGTTTCTAGCAGCATGATTGGGATATGATGACTTTCCTCGGATGTTAGAGGAATCATGGGGGAAACTTCGGATTTCATTGGCCAAACATCGCTCCTTATGGAGGACATGAAGCTATGGAATAGAGATGTGTTTGGTCATATTTTGAAGAGGAAGAAGAAGCTGTTCACCAGACTTCGTCAGCTGGAAGCTCGCAATGAATCAGATTCCTCGGCTGCTTCCAGGGATGAAGAACAGGCGGTGCGTTCTGAGCTAGAAACCACCCTCTGGCAGGAACAACTCCTCTGGTTTCAAAAATCAAGATCATCATGGATCGTCTACGGTGATAAAAATACTCACTACTTCCATCTCTCTACCCTTAAGAGGCGGAAGTTTAATAGGATCGCTAGCCTGAGAGATGACACGGGGAATTGGATTTCTGATGACCAGCTTCTTCGGATCCACGTCTGCGACTTTTACCGCAACCTCTTTCTTGCCGAGGATGGCCCCGCTCCATTTTTTGGTGAAACTTTTGACAAAATCTATGATGCAGAGGCGGCCTATCTTGCCGGCGATATCAAGCAAGAGGAAGCCTGGAATGTAGTGAAGGGGATGGGAGGCTTCAAGGCTCCGGGGCAGGATGGATACCCTCCAATCTTCTACCAGAAGTGTTGGAATACCGTGGGGCCATCCTTCTCTACCTTTGTGCAGGAATGCTTCAGGAGGCCGGACCTTTGAGTCAGAATTCTTCTAAGGCCTCATTCATGTGATGGTATTGGGCTTGAGTGGCATGGCCCACTTCTCTAAGGAGATAGCCTGGCTCCTCATGCTGACTCGGCCCAAGAGTGAGGTTTGTCTCCAACTCTTCTGCTTGTCGACGGTGGTCGCCGCCCTCCTCCAACCTCAAGCCCCATTCCAACTCTGCCGCCGCTCGGTCCATGTCGCTCCCCAGGTTTCTTGCCTCCATTTCAAACCTAAACCTCCCTTTCAGTCTTCCTTGTTCTGCCTGCACCTCCCTCTACGACTAATGATTTTAGATTCTCTGAATCCTGAATCCTGGGGGAACATGGTGATTCCTCTCCAATTGGCTTCCAATCTCCTCCGCTAAGTCTCTTGTTCCTTCCTCTCCCCTTCGGTATCCATCTCCCGATCTCGACCCTTCTCTTTCCCCCATAGAGCTGTGAGTACCTTTGCTATCTCCACTATTTCTGAAGATGGCCGAGTTGTGTCTGTGGAGAGAGTCGATTCCTGCTTTGAGTGAGGAGTTGTAGATTTCCGACAGGTGTGCAACTCCGTTCTTCTTCCTCTCTTCATTCATCCCCCACCAAGTGGGTCATTTGTGCCCTATCCTGCCGCAGAAGTAGCATAATTCCACGAGCCTTTCGTACTTGAATGTAATCTCGTCACAGTAGTCTATACCTGTGGTTTCATCCAGGAAAGGAAAATCGAAGCCAGTTGGAACTGGTTCCCTGAGGTCAACCTCCACCAATATTCTCAGAAACCTCTAGTAACCAGCATAATCAAGCCTGCTCTGTCCAGATCAAGGAATTCCAGGAAATAGTAGGAACCTATGGCCTCCATATTCTGCACGTTCCTTTGATTCTGATGCAAGCCATGGATCTGCACCCACATTGAAACCTTCACGATTGGTATGTCTTCTGGTTTCCCCCGCCCACTATACTTTTCGATCGTAGTGAGCGTGTTTGATAAGCTCCATGGCCTATCCATCCAGACTTTATCCCTTGTCTCCATGTTGTTGAAAGTGAAGATGAATAGGTTTGGAGGTTCTGTGGGCTGGATGTTCAGCTCTCCATAGCTTCCCCAGGCATATCGAGCTGCCCTTGCTGCTTTTGTAACCGCCACCTTGTTCTCAGTCAGCATCTTCCCCAGCAACATTGAGATACCTCAACCTCCAGTGGATGTGAGGATTGGGTGGCCTCCTCTGCCCCTTAAAGAGGAAGGGATGATGCTTCCAGCCGTTGGCCTATTAGGTGCAATGTTGTTGTTGACTTCCATGGGATTATTGAGGGATTGGGCAGGATTGAGAGGGGTTCTATACTCTCGAGAGTTCTGGTTTTTGGTGAGCCAATAACTGTGGAAGTAGTGAGTCGAAGTGCTAGAAAAGGTGAGGACTCTTCTAATCTCCTCTTTATTGCTCCCCTTCTAAAAATGAGTCTCTCTTCCCTCTTGATTACGGTTGGTATATTTCTTGTCAACAACTTCATAATTCCTCTGCTGGCTAAAATGAATCTTCCTTTGCTTTTCTTCTGCCAGACTAGTGGCTCTTGGCTCTATGTTCCCTTCACTCTGCCTTAGGCTAGGTGTAGAGTCTCCAGAAGCAAATCTGTACAGCGATCTTCCCTTATTCTCCCCTCTTGTCTTCCATATTATATGTTTTCTACTGCCATGACTCCCCTTATCTGGTGGTTTCCATAACTCACCCTCTTTCCCAAGTACTATGCCTCTATTGAGTAGTCCCATCGTGGGATTTCTTTTGAAAAATAAAGAGAGAAAGCGCCTCTCCCCTTCTTGATGGGTAACAGCAGCACAGTGCACTTTGCAGGTGGCATTGGAGATCAACAGTTGGCTCTTAGATTGAGTAGAAGGAGCCCCAAGGAACGGGATGGAAAAAGAACCGTTGAACGGTTCAGTGAAAAGATCCGTTAGAGAGAAGTAAGAGAGAGACATGTTTATACCCTGATTTTTTATTGAAAAGTGGAAAGTTTCAACTATCAAGAGGGGGGTAATTTGGGCGTTCAAAATAGAAGGTGAAAATTTGCCGAAAATTCAAAATTACAAATATTTGTGTCGGTTAAACCAAAACCGACACAAATTTGCCTAAAATTGTGTCAGTTGAGGTCATAACCGATACAACTTCGTTTATAATTGTGTCAGTTCAGTATAACCAACACAATCACAAAATATTGTATTGGGTCTGGAATCGAAACTAATTGCCGACACAAAATATACATTCAGTGTCAGTTAAATGAACCGACACAAAATAACCAACACTAAACATCTGTTTTCTTGTAGTACTTGTGGTCTATATAAGAGAATTAGAAACTGAGATTCACCTATTACAGATTAAAGTACATGCCTCAAACTCTCAGATTCATGATATAAATAATATAACTCGATAAATACGTCATTTTGAACCATGTATATATTATAATTTGGTTTTTGTGAACTAGGGCTGGTAAACATTCTAATTCGGTTTAAACCGGACCGGATTGACCCGATTTTTCAAAACCGTATTGGACAACCTTGTAGACACCACATTTTGTCCGGGATAATCACTTTATTGAAAATAATTATTGTAACATCGTACTAAGATTATATTTAAAAGGGAAATTGAAGATAGTTTGGTGGAGACTAGCAGTTGCAAGTCAATATGAACCAACAATTATCAAATTTGCTCCTAGTCGATTTTAGGGCATAATTAGTTAAGATAGGATTGGTTTAAGTTAAGATTAGCAGTAGCAAATCTTAAAAATAAATTCTCAATTGGATGGAAGAAATGACTATAGTGCAAATTTTGTTGCTCGAGTTTGGATTGGGATTCGTATTTGAAATAGAACAAATTGAATAGTGGAATGAGCTATATAATCAAAGATGCAAAGTCGATACATCGTACATCTAAATAAAGCAGGAATTATAATTAATTACAATGACTAACAGTAACTCTACAAAATTAGGCACCAATCAGATCAAGACTAGGCCTTTTTGCTATTTCCTTTGAGCCCAAAGCCAAACCAACCTGCAAAAGAAAAGAAAAAAACCAGTCAGTTCACAAGCCCCCAACTACAGACCCAATTCGGCCTACAAGCTAAAGCTTGCGGGTTTGGCCCAAACACAACAAGCCCAACTCAGCCTTATCCAAACCCATCACTTCCTATCTTATCTCCAGATTTCACATTTCAAGGAAGGGCAGAGTTTGCAGACACAGCCTCAAAATCGGCCAATACCCAAGTGACACATGGCGCTTCATTTTGGTATAATGACCTCTTTGGGTTCTTAGGAGGAGGGGGGACGAATTGGAGTGGGAAAAAAGAGTGAAGTTTTGGAGTGATTGATCAAACAGAAAGTTCTCCTTTTGATCGAATACAGGAGTTGAAACAAGTAATAAAGACGCAGCACCAAATCTCAAGTCTAATTTTTCAATCTCCGAATCCAGGTTCATCAATCCCTCTTCTTGTAAAGCTTATATTTATGTTCCATTCAAGTTCTTTCTATTAAGATTACTACTTCCTGCTGCTACTTTTTTTTTATGGTTAATCAAAATTTCATTAAGCACGGGCAGCTCAACGAGTGCCTCTCAAACAAAACAAATGTTCACAAAATCAGAAACAGTACAATCAAAACCTATAAACAACCCAATCTGATCGCACGAAGGCTCTTCTGAAGGTCAAAGTCAATCTACGCCCGCCATTCCAAAACTCTTCCAACTTCTCTGCAAAGAACACCTCGGGTTTTAACAGACTGCACCCCATACAATCTTGCACAACGCTCCCGCCAGGTAAGGCTAACAGCGAGACTCCAAACAGCACAACAAGCAACTGCTGCAGAACCCTTCCCTTTCCACTCACTAGCACACCAGTCAATCACCTCCTCCCATGTGCCCAGGCCACTAACAGGAGTCAGAGATGCCAAACAACTTGTAACAATAGCCTGCATAAAGGGGCAAACATAGAAAATATGATAGCAGGTCTCAATTCCCCCTGGACAAAACACACAGAATCCTGAAACCGGTTTTCCCCAAGCAAGTAGTTTATCCTGAGTACGCAATCTGCTCAGGATAGCTAACCAGAGAATAATGCCATGTCGAGGAACCACTTCCTTACTCCAGACCAGTTCATACCAACCAACAGGTGGATCATACGACCTGAGGGAGTCCCACACCCTTTTCACAGATTAACGAGCCATAGGTTCACCATCCCAAAGAGTGAAGCCCCCCTGATCAGAGACAAAATGTTGGATATCAGACCGACATCTCAGCAAACGCTTCCAAACCCAGGAACCAGCTCGCCATCCTTCAAATCCCAAAATAACTTCTGCTTGATGCGATAACGTTGCACCCATGCAACCCATAAAGAGCCACTGGATATAAGAACATTCCACACATGCCTGACCACACAAGCCTTATTCCAAACAACAAAATTCCTAATCCCCAGACCTCCTTCCTTCGTCGGGCGAGCAACAACCTTCCAGGCAACCAATGCTCTAGTTCTCAAACTAGCATCAGTGACATCCCAAAGGAACTAGTTGCATATTCTCTCAACTTCAGAGATGACAAACTTAGGAAGCAAAAATATGTTCATCCAATACTGCAAGACACTAGACAACACCGAGCTGATAAGTTGAACTCTACTCGCAAAACTCAATAGCTTAGCCCTCCAGCTTTGAATTCTATGAGTTATCTTATCCACCAAGACCCGACAATCTCTTCTCAATAGCTTACTGGTGATTAGAGGAACTACTAGGTACTTCACAGGCAGCTGACCTAAAGGAAATCCTGAATAAACAGAAATGGACTGCTTTTCCTCCTCTGGGATTCATGCACAGAACAGCTGGCATTTTGAAGGATTGCAACGAAGACCAGACAAGCTGTAAAACTCTTCCATCAATCTTATAATGCCTGCCACCCCTCGAATTGACCCATTTGTAAACACTAACAAATCATCAGCGAAACAAAGGTAAGTTATGGCTAGGGGTTTACAACGAGGATGGTAAGGAATTTGATTATCACGAGCAGCTCTCTTCATTAACCCATCCAAAACTTCCATAGCAACCGTAAACAAATAAGGTGACAAAGGGTCACCCTGATAACGATGTAATTGCACATATTTGCGCCCCTAGTTCTTATCCGTTTGAGGGGCATAGTCGTGTGTTTTGGCCTATTTTACGCCGGGTTGTGCTATTTTGTCATGTTTCAGGTCCCAG